GAGGAGGATGGAGGAGGAGAACGGAGGAGGATGATGGAGGAGGAAGATGGAAGAAGAAGATGGAGGAGGATGAAGGAGGAGGATGGAGGAGGAGGATGAAGAGGAGGAAGAAAAGGAGGAAAAGGGAGAAGAGGAGGAGGAGGAGGAGGAAGAGGAGCAGGAAGAGGAGGAGGAGGAGGAGGAGAAGGAGTGCACCTAGAACCATCTTTAAGGATGAAGCAACCATCAAAACCCTGGTCAAGCTGGTTGCTTCCTATCACCCGCTGCGCAGCGCAGCATGCCCATGCAGAAAAGGAGTTGCAAAGGTTCTAGGAAGTCTCATCCTTAAAATCTGGAAAATGGCAGAAACCAATGCTTTGAATCAAATGGTTTCCGGGGATCTTAACGCATGGGGGATGAATGTTATGCATGGGCGAAGCAGCCACTGACGTGGTACGTCCCCCACGGTTTCTGAACTCTCCCGGGCTTGTTGGTTGGGGCCACCCTCGGAGACGACAACCGGAGGGGCTGCTCATGTGCGCGGGAAAAGCTTCGCGCAAGTGATACACATTGCTTCGGAGGTGTGTATGGCCCTTCTTTGAGCCTTAGAAGGAGCGGCGCAAAACCGCGGCCTGGCTTTCGCCACCTGGGGGTCGATGTTTTGGTGCACCCCCGAACCCCAACGCTATGCACAATGTGCTAGAAGAGGTACTCTTCAGTTCCTCATTGCGCCTGGATCGGGGCGTCGGCAAAGCTCGCATCTGGCACGCCAGCCCCCCTTGGGAGTGAACGCGCCCCTCGCAACTTCCACCTCTCGGTACCTGATTCGCTACGCACCTGTAGTGTGAAAGTGTGAACGGCAGGGAAGGGCGTGGGACAGGGAGCGTAGCGGGGATCGAAAGGGGAGTGGGACAAAAGTTGGGAGGGTGGAGGGATGCGTGGAAGGAAGAGGGGGAGGAAAAGGAACCAAAGAAAGAGGACGGAACGATGTTAACAAAATGTGCCCCCCCTTGCCCGGCAGGAGCGTTCACTACGCACTTGTAGTGTGAAAGTCTGGACGGCAGGGAAGGGCGTGAGACAAGGAGCACAGCAGGGGGACGAAAGGGGAGGGGCCTGAATATGATTGGCGTTGCTTAGGAATATGACTTTTTAGGAATTGAAGGTTCAGGAATGGTTTGTCGAGGAAATTGTTTTCTTGCAGTTATACTTGCGGGAAAAGGAGAAAACAAATGCAACTAATAGGCATGAGAAAAAAAAAAATGAAAGTCCGCATTTTCTGACGCGGCAACGGCCGTCTGCTGTGACCAGATGAGACAATGTATGTAATATGTCGCTCATATAGGCGCATGGAAATCAAATCAGCCACCTCCCATGAAAAAAATTACGACTCGAATAAGCAAAAAAAACGGGTTTGCAAACGTTTTTTAAATAACGTGTTTTTTGACACTTAAGGTTTAGTGAGATGTTTGTAGCCGGAATGTGCATTGATGTTCAAGCTGCGTGTCATCATTTGTATGATGGTTCGGCCAAATCAAACCGAATGTTTCCAACCCGGGTTCTACGTCTTCGTCTCTCCGATTCACAATGAATTAGTTGCCTTAAGATGAACAGAATATATTGAAAGATAAGTCGTATCTTAATGCGTATACATCTTACTTGTCTAAAAAACCTCACACCATGACGACGATCAAAAAACGATAACATTGGTATCACATTGCTGGCCACTTTGTTATTCTGGGGACCTTGCGAATTGCAATTCTCCCGCTGCTGAGGAATATCGTTTGATATTCTTGGAAATGCGCACATATTCGAAAATGGGATCGTAGAAATGGGTACATACAAGAGCGTGAAATATGGAATGTTTGGGCGGAATCCGGATTGGGATCGAAAGCGGGGGGCCGGACTAACTAACGAAAATGAGTGCAAGAACGGGAGTGGGCGGGCACCGCTTTGGAGCATCTTTCCATTCAGCACGCAAAGGGGGGAGAAACATATATAACGTAGATATGTGGCGTTTCGTATGATGAGCAACATGAGTGCCCATGAATCTTATAACTTGCCAGCGGACCGATTGTGGCCCGATGCCTCCAAAAACTCACAACATAATAATTCCGCTGGTCGCCTCGCACCGGGCTCCGTCAAAAAATGCAACAAATCTTTTGTTACGGAACCGAATTCTGTGAGAACTGGTGACGTGGTTCACGACGCTATAAATACGAAAACCGGTGTTGGTGGATACGGAAACCAATGATGGTGGATACGGAAACAGGTGTAAATGGATACGGACACTGGTGGGAACCGTATGGATGCAAACAGAAACCGGAAAAGGTAGATACGGAAACCGGTGTGAGCGGATACGGGAACCGGTGGATACAAAAACTGGGTGGATAGAAAAACGGGTGTGAACAAATACGGGAACCGATGTAGGTGGATACGGAACTGATGTGGGTGGATACGGAATTTGTGTTTGGGTACCGAAGATACCGAACCCGTTGCCGCCGTACGATTTGGTGTGCGCAAGCGTTATGGTGTACACAAGCGTTGTGGTGCACGCGAGCTTTGTGGCACACTTTTAATGGGATATTGCAACATGTCGGAAAATGAATACGACTTTGAGTAATGACAACGGTTGCGGAGTGATATTGGGATGAAAAAAATGTCAACTCCCAGAGGGAAATTGAATGCCCTCCTCCTCGTCCTCCTCGTCATACTTCTCTTGCTAAGGTCGTTCCAATCGTGCAGACTAACATGCAGAAAAAAAAGACTGCTCCGATCACCAGAATCCAAGACCATGTCCGCAGCGGTGATCGGTCGGCTGGTTCGTTCGGAAGAAGAGGTTAGGCATGAAGAGGATGAAATATGCAAATGCAAACCGTCGCTGTAGATTCAAAACCGCTTCGTCGTCGTGCAAGCCGTCGCCGTATGCTACATTATTTCAACCAAAACCTGCCGGCTCTGGTGAGAAACTCAACCGTTTTGCATACCTCCGGTGTGCACTGCGGTCTTCTTTCCGGCGGTCTCCGATTTATTCATATTTTCGATTTCGTCGTGGGTGTGCGGTTCAATTTTTGGTCTGTGATTCGTCGCGTGCGGTATGTGCCTTTTGTGATTCGGCGTGCGCGATCTGTGATTCACCGCGCGCGGTCTGTGTTTCAAGCACCTCTGATTCAGAACCTGCCGCATCCTCATCCCGTCATTTAATACATTCATTTTGATGTTAGCCTTCCTGCTCCTGGAAAACGACCGCCAATATGAAAAGAAACATGAGATAGACGCGCATGACTGCTACGTGCAGAAGCACTCCATGCCTGGACATCTCGGTCAAGGAGCAACCAACTTGAGTGGACACCAGAACCAATTTGGGTGGATATCTGGGCCGATACCTTACTTACTGTTTTGGTGGATGCCATCGCCGACCTATGTGGATACGGAAACCAAGTGGGCAAATACCAAGTCCGACCTGGATCAATACCGAAACTGGACTTGGCCGATACAGCAACCGACCTGATGGATGCCGAAACCGGGCTTCAATACCGGCATGTTGCGATGCCGAATCCAACTCTTCTTGTCGCTACCCGAAATTCTGGCAAGTATATCGAGCACGTTTTCATGTTTGGGAGGATGTCTCTATGTTTTTTCCGACTTAAACAGCTTCCCGAAACCTCAAAAGGTGCGTGCGGAAATAGTTTTCTCCAAAACCGATTGTGTATCTTCTAAATTCAATTCGTCTTGTCCCTGAACAGCCAGAAGCTTGGCACTAGACTGATCTTGATCCTTGGCAACAGTAGTATGGACCCGCACGCGTGTCGTGCAACTGTCGGGTGCGCGCCACCCCAAAAAAGTAGGTGCCGACGTGCCTGTGACCAACGGAGCATCGTGAGGTCGACATTCATGAGCTTCAAGATCCAATAGAAGAGATCGAGGCTGTGTGAATTGGAATACCGCGGCTCGCGCAACGTGATAATTCCCTGAAGCAACGGGAAAATCCGTATAAGCTGAACCTCACATTTCTTGCCGGACTACGCTTTCCATCTTCCAAACACATGTTTATGATCTTCGCGCGTGATTGCATGCCGAACCCGCTGTCGCATCTCATTCGAGGTATGTTGCCTCGTCGCGTGTTCTGCGCCGATGCAGACGAAAACATGTGGACCACCCCATCTGCCAACGAAGGGAGATGCAGAATTGTTTGTTTACGGTGAATACTTCTTTCCCGCGCAGAGCATGAAGGGAATTGGGACACCCAGTAACATCCTCAGAACAAACATGCGCTAGGCTCGCTTAGACCGCAGGAGTCACTGTGACGTAATTTTCAACAGCGTCATATAAGAAACATCTAATCGGATTTTAGCCTAATATCTAAGGTTGCCACCGTCCGGCTGCGAACGGGAGAGAATGTTGAAGCCTTTGTTTTGCCTGCATCGAACTGCACAATATTCGCTTGGCCCCAAGCATGCAACGAGGTTTGGCATATTCGCAACACAGAGTATGTTTCAGCATTCGTGGCAGAAGCTGGAAGCGCTCTCCAAACATTGAGGTCATTTGCGTAGACGGATATTGGTTTGGACTCGGGTAGGGAACGGGACTGCGCACCTACTCGAATCGACTGAGGACCCAGCGTGCAAGGTCAAGGCGTAATGCAGGCAGTCCATGCTGCCATTACGTATGGGCCAACATGACTTCCGCTACGCCATCATATATCCAATCCCTCAATATGTCTACGGAAGACGAGGACGAGGAGGAGAGAGGACAAGGTCAACGACGACGACGACTATACCGTCGGGAACTTTTGCTTGGCGTGTTGCGGCTGCGGCCCCAACGAAGCGCCGTGCCCTGCAACCGGATAGCGTGTCGCTCCGCTCCGCGGGGCGGGATGCCGGGAAAGGCTCGGGACGATGCTGCTTGGAAGTGGGGGAGGTGTTTAGCGTGTCGCGCCGGAGCGCGGTGGGCGGTGGGCCAAAAGTGGCGGGTGGCGGCGCGACGCGCTGAGCCAAACACTCCCGCCCGTGAGCGCTGTTTTCTGCCGCCCTCGCCGGCCCATCGCCGCCAGCCCCCGCGGGCAAGAGGGGCTCGCGTGGCTCCAGGGCGGCCCCGATGGCCGCGAACGGGTCGTCCTCTTCGTCGGCCGCGGGCTGGCCAGCGCCTCCGCCGGGGGGGGCCCGAACCTCCTCCCCTTCCTCCTCCACGTCGCCGTTCTACTCCTCCTCCTCCTCCTGCTCCTCCTTCTCCTTCTCCTCCTCCTCCTCCTGCTCCCCCGCCGCCTCCTCCCTCTTCCCCCTCCATCCTCGACTCGGAGATCGGGCACCGTAATCTTTCACACTTGTGGTTGGACACCCGGAAGCCTCTGGAAGCCCCAGGGAACCTCCATCTGTGGTGTGGGGCCCAGAAGCACATGACAGTTTACGGGAACCCAGGCCTCCGACGCAATTCTTGTCGAGCTAAAGACGCATTCGTCTCTCTCTCTCTCTCTCTTTTTTCGTGCTGGTTTCAGCACGGACTTCTCTCATCGATGTTGGCTTCTGCACCTTGCTATTCTGCTCTGGAAGCAAATTACTTTTGGCGGAGAGCTGCAAAGTGTTGGCCTTTTTGTGGGGTTCTCAGGGCCTCCCTCGCTCGGCCTCTGGATGCCTGTGGAAACCTGGGCGCGAGCACCGCTCATTCTTTTTTTATTTGTTTCTCTCTCTCTCTCTCTGTCATTCTCTCTCTCGGTGCCCTTCTTTTGTTTCCACATCAGCTTAGCACACTCCGCTGACGCCCTCGCTGAGTTGGACTAGCTGGCCGTGAAGTAAAAATCGTGTGTCCTCCTCTGCTGCACATGGGCAAGCTTTGGACGTGTGGCCGCTGTTGGCTTCTGTATGTCCGCGATCGCCCCACGCTGTGTGTGTGTGTGTGGGTTTCCCTCTCTCTACGTATCTCTGCTTGTTTCAATATTGTGTGTGGTTGATGTTATTTCCTTCTTTCTCTCCCTAACCATATGCACTGCTTCGATCGAATAGAGCTCAGGGGCGACTACTTGAAGCCGTCCGCGCTTTTTCTGCCCGTTTCGCCCGAGACCTGCTCAATCTTCTGAGAATCGGACGCGCTCCTCACGCAGATCGCGACGTCACGATTCAACATGTAAGCATCAAACTTCGAAACAAACAACCGTTCCACTGATTTTGGAGACGGTTCTCTGAAACATGGCAATTTCGCATCAGACACCCCCAGGCTCTGTAAGCATAGCGTTTTCGCTACACTTGCCCCCATCCTGCGTGCAATCCTGCCGTACGACAATCCTTGTTCTCCTCTTCCCGTTGCTCCTTCCTCCGCCTTCTCGACGGCACTCTGGTTCAGCAGACGCCACGGGAGTGTGGTATATGCGCGGCGCGAGTTCCTTCTCGCGGTGGGCGATGGAGGAGGAACAGAACACACCCGACATGAGTCAAATAGCCGTCGAGCTAACGCTCTGGGGCTGCTGGACGTCCGAGCAGCTCCACGTCCCCAGCCGTGCTTTCGAGGGCCTCCCTGCCGTCCTCGCGGCGCTTCTTCGGGCCGTGCTCGGGCACCTTCTGCTCTGGCAGCGACGGCGCTCCTGCGTCGCGACCCGCCTGCGCCAAAGTGCCGTTCAGCGAGCCATGCCGCTCTCCCTCTCCCTCTCTCTCTCTCTCTGTCTTTCTCTTCCTCTCTCTCCCTCCCTCTCTCTCTCTCTCTCCCTCTCTCTCTCTCTCCCTCTTTCCCTCTCTCTCTCTCTCTCCCTCTCTCTCTCTCGCCGATTCAAGAGGCCCCGAACCCACACATCTTGACGCTCCGCTCCTGCTTCTGCCGCCTCCCGCCGAGCTTCCGCCCGCGGACCCGCCGCCGCGCTGCCTCCGCCGCGCCCTCCGCCGGGGGCGAGGCCGCGCCGAAGGCGAGGGCCTCTCCGGAGCGCGCGTCTGACGGAGAAGGGGAGCCGAGGAGGAAAAGGGGGGGAGCCGTTGCGCACGGGCAGCCCCCAAGGGCAGTCCTCGGACGCGGAGCGCCCCGTCGCTGCCCGAGGCGGCGCCGGGGTGTCGAGACCGCCCTGGGCTGCTCGGGGGGGCTGCCGAGGCCAGCTTGGGCCACCTCGGGGGCCGTCTGTCTCTGCGCGAGCCCGGGGCCCGACCTTTCGGGAGGGAGCTGTGGGGGGGGGGGAGCGGGAGCAGCAGGAGGAGGAGGAGGAGGAGGAGGAGGAGGAGGAGGAGGAGGAGGAGGAGGAGGAGGAGGAGGAGGGGGGGGGAGCGGGAGCAGCAGCAGGAGCCTGGCGGCGACGGGCAAAGCTCTGGCCGGGGCGCCGCCGCGGCAGCAGCGGCCGCGTCCGCGTCGAGTTGCAGCAGCCGCTCCTCGGGCCGCGTCCGCGGGAAGTGTGGCGCGGCAGCGGGGATTTCGACACGATGGCACATGCTTGCGCTGACATCCTCTCGTTTAGGAAGAGTCGCGGTTTGCTCATTTTCGGCCTCTGGGGGCCTTCACCAGGCCCCGAGACTATCAAGAACGACTCAAGATGAGAAGCCGGTTCTGGGGAACGAGTTCAGATCTCTGGGAAGCCACGTTTTGAAATGATGATGATGATTGTGACGTCGGGTGTCTGGGTGGCACGCTGACGTAAAAAGATGCTGGGGGAGCCACCTTACCGGATCCTGTCCCAGCAGGGGTGGGGATGGCTGCGGCGATAATGGGATGCGGCAAAAATCCGCGACCGTGCCGTAATAGCCACGGAGTGACTGTCCTCATGCCTCTTCTCTGTTCAGCTCACTCAGGAGGACATAAGCGGTGTAATCATACACTTTCAGAGGTCCTCGCTGATTTCTTGGATCTACGCTGGATTCCCCTCGCTTGCGCGCGGAGCCAGCGGCGGTGCTCGAGCCGCCACCATGGGGCCCCAGCGCTGATCCGAGAAATCAGTGGGGAATTCCGAAAATTCATGTTCACACCATGTTTCCCAGCCCTCCTGTTCTGGATTCTCGTTTCAGATAGAGCACTGTGGTATCCATCTCTCCCCCTCCTTCCTCTCACTCCTCCTCCTCGCCCAGCGGGGACCTCGCGGCTCCCTTGGGACTGCGAAGTGCGCACCCGTCGACGCTCTGGTGGGCTCCTGGGAGATCCAGCGGGGAAGAGGGCCACGCACACCTGGCCGCGACCTCGCGGCCCCCTGCGCAAGGAGGGGTGCTTTTCGAGCCTTCCAAAGAAAGCAAACACATTGTGTCACGCAGCAGCTTCTGGAGGTAACTTCAAATTCTTGGCGTCAATTGCGATTGTAAACCAATTAGGTTAGACGCTGTGCAGGAATGCGTGCACGAATGTGGTTGGAGACTTCCATCACCCTGCGCACTGCGGGTCCTTCCGCATGTTCGTTTGTATTGAGGTCCTGGTCTTAGGTCGGGCATGTCCCCTTACAGGTGGATGTTGGGTGAAAAATGTTAAACAGTCTAAACAAATACCCCCAAGTACTCTAAAGACAACCAACAACCTCGTCCCCAGAATATTTTTGTAGAGGGACATGCCCGACTTAATCCTGGTCCTGTGTGCAGTGGCCGCATGTCGACAGGAGAAGAAACAACGCAATCAACAGAAACTTCTTGGCGCTCCGCGCGGGTTTCTTGGATCTGCGCTGGACCCCAAAATTTCTGCTGATCGCGCTTTTTCTTCTCCGAGTTTCGAGAGGGCTGGGTAAGTCGCAGGGTATGTAACCTTTCTCCTCTGATCTGCTGCGCGGTCCTGTCACGGGGCCGGGCGCTCCCAGGCGCGCCTTCCTGGGGCGGCTCTCGCGCAGCTCCCACGGGAAGGCCTCGAGGGCGCCGCTCGGGGTGCGCCGTGTCAACGCGCTCCAAGATGGCCTCCCGGGGCCCGTCCCGGAGCCCTCTTTTGGGTGCCTCTCGGGGCCGTGGCCCCTGGGGACGGCCAACAAAGCGCCCAACTCGTCAGAATTTCCGGCGTTGCTCCTGTACGATGTTAGCACTAGGGCTGACCCGAACCTCGTTTGCGAACATTTGTTCCCGAACTGTTTGCGAACCGCTCGTTTTGAGCATCTCTGCTTCCCCTCAACCGAGCGGCCGTGGATGAGGCCCGTAGCGGCCTTGGAGTTCGCGAGCAGCTGGTTCAGAAAGGGTGATGAGCAATCTGCGAACATCTGAATACAAACATTCCGAACAAATTATTGACCACGCCTAGTGTTAGCACAGTCGGCATATCTGTGTGAAGGGCGCACAGGACGGCCCAATAGGTCCCCAAGATCGCCCCAAGACGGCTCCCAAGGCCAAGAGGGCCCAAGAGTCCAGAAGCCCCCAAGATGGGCCCGAGAGGGGCTCAACGGGAGGATCTCGGACTTACTCTTCGAGCTCTTTCTGCTAAGATGGCCTGCTAGACCGCCAATGAGCCCCTAAGTGACCTCCAAAAGGCGCCCAAAAGATCCCGATAGGCTCCCAATAGAACCATGCGTTTCCCCTGAGGGGCACCCTAAGGAGACACCAAGAGCATGCGTGAGGCCTATGACCACAATCCTGGCACGGTGGCGGGATTGGCTGAACGATTCTGCATTCGACAGCGATAACCACATGGTGGCCGTACTGGGACGATACGACCTGCGAGCCAATGGTGGCGATAGGACGATGCAATGGCGGCGACCGCGTACGCAGAGGAGGTCTTTACAAGCCATCCCCTGGAGCACACCCCGCGGCGTGCCCGAATTACCAGCCTGGTCGCGGCGGAAGGCATACGGCCAACGCGCAGACATCAAGGGGGCCTGAGCCCTTGGGGATCTCGATCCCTTCCCCAGAGCTGGCTCTCTATCGTGAGCAATGTTTTGGAGGTCCTGCGGCTGGGCGAGGACCACGAGAAGCTAAACATATGCAACAACCCTACGCGGCGATTTTTTTGGGGAGCTCGACTCCTTCCTTAAGGCCAGGTCTCTACGGTGGGTCGCTCTTTGGTGGTCCTGCGGCCAGCTGAGGACCCCCGGAAGTTTCAAAAACACGCAAAGCCCCCCTCCCGTCCCGCTTCTTCGCGACGCCACGCGGTCTGGTGGCCTCTGCCCCCTCTTGGGGCGGAACGGAGGGATCGCAAGATCGCAAGAAGCCGTGCATCCATGAAGGACGCGTGGGCAGAAATAGCAACTACAAAGTTGCCGCGGCCGCAGCGGGCGCTTCTAGGGGGGAGGAGGTGGAGGAGGCAAAATGCTTCAGATGCTCAGGTGACCGAGGTTGTAAACGGATTGCGCCCGCTGCTGCCTGGGTCTCCCTCTGCGCCGGCGGAATGCCGAATCTTTGGGCGTGCCGTCTGCGTTGCACACCACCCGCTTCACCAAGGAAAAGAGGGAAGGGTAACAAATCCAGGGGGTTAGCGAATCAGCTCACGTGCCTGAGCTATCTGGCGCCAGGGGGCGCCAGTGCATCGAGGACCGCAGCTGGCGGCGGGGCCGACGCAGCAGCTGTCGCACCCCACCTTTTCTCGACTCCTGCCTCCCCCCGGCAGAGGCCTCGCCCGGCGGTCCGCGGAGGCCTCTGGAGGCCGGGCGGGGACCAACAGGGCCCCCCCCCCAAAACCTCCACGGATCCTCCTCTCCCCTCCCTCCTCCCTTCCAGGGGGAGGAGGAAGAGGAGGTGGACTGACCTCGTCTCATTCCTCTCGTCTCTCACCTTTTCCCTAGTGATGCGCCCCCACCTCCCCGCAGGGCTTGGCCGTGGGGAGGTGGCAGGACGAGCTTTTGTACGGCTACAGACCTCGTCCCGTGCAGCCGTTAGCAGCAGCGGGTGGAGGAGCGGAGGAGCACCCGGGCAGAGTGGGGGTGAGGACGGGGGATGATATCCGTACGCCCCCGTCCTCCCCCCCTCGACGTCTGGTGGCCTTCGTCGGGTCATGGTTGGGCCCCCCGGCGGCCGGCCGGGACGACCCGGGCCCCCCCGGCGCCTCTCGCCGAGGCGCAGCTGATGTACGGAGAGCACCCCGAGGCCGAGACACCGCCGACAACCTCTGGAAACGCCGACTGGCGGCGCGCACAAGGGGGTGGGGGGAGGGGGGAGGGCTTTTTAGTAGGAGGCTGCTTCTTAGAAGGCGCCGGCCTTGCATCTGTAAATGAAGCCCGCGCCTTCTAAGAAGCAGGGGTGCTTCTAAGAAGCCCTCCCCCCTCCCCCCTCCCCCCTCTGCGCGTGGCTTTGGACGCCCGAGATGGGTACGGAAAAAATGGGTACAATGCTCAACAACAAATGTTGTCCCAAACCAACAGCGGCCGCTGTTGGGCAGACGGCGTTCTGTCTCAAATGGGCACAGGCCGCGGCGGCGCGGACAGCGAGTCCTGTTCATAATGAACAGGAACTGCTGCTGGGCATCGCACCCACTCTTTCCGTGCTCATTTCGTTCGTGCCGAGTGGCTGAGCCGAGGAACGTCGAGCCTGAAACCTCCTCCCCCCGTTTCGTCCCCGTTCCGTCCCCGCGGCGGGCGGCGGGAGCATGCTCAGGACACTACCAGGAGGAGGGGGAGGGAGGAGGAGGAGGAGGAGGAGGAGGAGGAGGAGGAGGAGGAGGAGGAGGAGACCTTCGAAAACCTCCTCCCCCCGTTTCGTCCGATGCAGACCTCCCTGAAAGGGGTGGGGCGGGGTCGGCCGGGCACTCCTCGAGGGCCCGCGGCGCGGCCACGGAGAGCAGCGCGGCACGCTCGGAGCCGAGCCGCTGGAACTGAAGACGGGGGAGGGGGAGGGCGAGCTCTCCTCCTCTCCCCCTCGCTCCCTTCCTCCGCCTTCCCATCGTCCTCTTCCTCCTTTCCCTCCTCCCTTCCCCCCCTCCTTCTCCTCCTCCTCCTTCTCCTCCTCCTTCTGATCACCATCACCATCACCATCGTCAGCATCAGCAGCATCAGCATCAGCATCAACAATATCACCATGACCACCATCACCTCCATCACTGCAACCATTACCATCATCAGGACCAGAAGTATCAGCATCAGCAGTCAGCAGCATCAGCATCAATACCACCATGTTCCTCACCATCACCAGCACCACCATCACCATCAACACCATCACCATAATCATCAACACCAGCACCATCACCACCACCACCATCACCACCATCACCATCACCAGCACAATCACCATCACTATCACCATCACTACTACCACCATCACCACCACCATCATCAACATCACCACCACGATCATCACCACCACCATCAACACAACCATCATCACCACCATCACCATCTTCCTCATCCTCATCTTCACCGCTATCCTCATCCTAAGCCTCATCAGCATACCCACCATCATCATCATCACCATCATTATCACCACCACAATTATCACAACCACCATCATCCTTCTCCTCGTCCTCCTCCTCCTCCTCCTCGTCCTCCTCCCCCTCAACATCATCATTACCATCTTCATCAGCATCCGGATCAGCATCTCATCACCATCCCCATCATCACCATCACTACCACCATCATCGTCGTCATCAGCGCCACCCTCGTCATCGTCGTCGTCGACACTCTCATCATCATCATCATCATCATCATCATCATCATCATCATCATCATCATCATCATCATCATCATCACCGCCATCATCACCACCATCATCATCATCATCATCATCGGCATCATCATAATCGTCACCATCATCGCCATCGTCATCGTCACCATCGTCATCGCCATCATCACCACCATCACCATCCTCCTCCTCCTCCTCAACATCATGATCCCAATCATCATCACAATCATTATCAGCATCATCATCAAAAGTACCATCATCATCACCATCAACATCACCATCAACACTATCTCCATCATCATCATCGCCATCATCATTACTAGCACCATCATCACCACCATCATCACCACCATCAGCATCATCATCACCATCATCATCACCATCATTCTCATCCCCACCATCATCAGCAACATCATTATCACCAGCATCAAAACCACCATCTTCATCACCACCATCACCATCATTTTCATCATGCTTATCATCACCATCATCATCGTCACCATCATCATGATCACAATTATCATCATCATCGCCACCATTAGCATCACCATCACCTTGATCAGCATCATCATCACCATCAGCTTCATCATCGCCATCATCATCACCATCATCACCATCAGCATCGTTATCCTCATCACCACCATCAGGATCACCATCATCATCACAATCATCAGCATCACCATCGTCATCATCACCGACAACATCAACATCATCATCATCAACCTCGTCATAGATATCCTCCTCATCATTACCATGGACATCATCACCATCATGAACATCACCATCATTATCATCATCATCATCATCATCATTACCGTCATCCACATTACCATCATCACCATCGTTATCACCATTATCATCATTACCATCATCATCATCATCACCACTATCACCACCATCATCAGCATCACCATCATGGGTATGTATCAACAACATAACCGCCATCATCATCACCATCATCAACATCACCATCATAATCATCACCATCATCATAATCACCATCACCAGCATTAGCATCATCATCACCATCATCATCACCACCACCATTATCATCACCACTACCACCAACACCACCACCATCACCATCATCATCTTCGTCATCATCATCATCACCATCATCATCATCATCATCATCATCATCATCATCATCATCATCATCATCGTCAATGTCCCGTCGCTCGCCAGTCGCGGAGATGCTAGACCCACCGAGCGCATGGCCAGATATTTCGCCACATCAACGTAATTGGACCTTCCGTGCCTCTATGGCACGAAGTAGAACGTTCCCCTGTCCTTGCTCAACCCCTGGGCCTCCGTCCCCAAGCCTGAGGCTTCTTCTAAGGGGCCCGGACCCCTAGCTCTCAAATCCCACCAGCCCTCTGGGCGTGAGTGGTTTGGAGACGTTTTTCTTCCAACCCCCTCTCTTCCCCTTCGGGGAAAGGTCTCCCCCTCCCCCTCCCCCCTCCCTCTGGGTCTGGAGGGGGCGTTCCGCGGGCCGTTGGAGCGTCCAAGATGGCCTCGGCCAGGAAGCCGACATCCACCGACCCCCGCTTGCCGGGGGTGAGAAGGCGCGTGAGACCTGTCGGCTGTCCCCCTTCCCCTTTCCCCGTACCCTGGGGTCCAAAATGCCATTCGAAGGTGGGGGGACGAGCTCGTCAACGCATCCCCGGGGTCTCCGGAGCCCTCCAAAAAGCCCCAAGGCAGCCCAACAGGATCCAGACAGAGCGCCAAGACAGTCGAAGAGAGCGTCAGGACGGCCCAGGGTAGCCTCACGACGATCGAAGATGGCTTCAAGATGGCCCACGAGGCCCCCAAGACAGCCCAAAAGCGCTTCCAGGGAATCGCCGAGAGGGCTCCAAGAGGGCAACATTATCCCATTCCCTCGGGAAAAAAAGCGCTCATTTTCAGCACGTTCGTGTTTTAATGTGTTGTTCTGTTGTTGTTCGTTTTGAAAGCGAATGCAGTGGCCCCCAATATCGTCCCAAGACGGCCCATGATGGCTCCAAGAAGGCCCAGGAGGGCCCAAAGACAGCCCAGGGCCCCCTCCCAAGAAGGCCCGCGACAGCCCCTGGAGGGCCCCGAGAGGGGCTCCAATAAAGCCCAGGAGGGGGAGTGCGAACTGACATTTCGAGCCTCTTCCACCGAGATGGCCCCCCGAGGCCCCCGCTGGCCCTCCAGGAGGCCCCACGAGGCCTCCAAGTCGCCCCCAAGAAGCCCCCCTGAGGCCCCCCAAAGCCTCTCGCATGCCCCCAAGAGCTCTCCAATAGGCCCCAGAGAGGCATCCCACGAGACCGTCAGATTCATCCAGGAGGCTCCGACACAAGATGTAACTTCCACGATCGTCTTACACACTCACTCCTTGTGGGGGCAGCCGGACTGGCACAAGCCACTTGAATCATCGATTTTACGACGGGTTTGACTACGTTTCGGCCTCTGTCTGGGGTGGGCAGTGCTAATGTAGTACGGCCTCTCCTCTGATCGATATCCTCCAAGGTGGTCCCAAAATGGCCTCCAAGGCTCCCGAGGGGCCCCCAGGATGGCCCCAGGAGGTGCCCAGAAGGTCCCAAGAGGCCACCAGGAGGCGCACAAGACGCAACAAGAGGTCCCCCGGAGGTACCCTGACGCCCCAAGAGACCTCGGCGGGAAGGCCAACATCACTGATTTTACCAAGGCTTTGGCCACATCTTGGCCTGCCTCCTGGGAGGACCAAAATATAGTACGGCCTCTCCTTTGATCGATCTCCTCCAAGATGGCCCTAAGATGGCTCCTGAGGCTCTCAAGGGTGCGTGCGTGCCCCAAGACGGCCCAAGAGGTGCCCAGGATGCCTCAAGATGCCCATAAGAGGCGCACAAGATGTCCCCAAGAGGCTCCCGAGAGACCCCCGAGACGCCCCCCAGAGGCACCCAATAAGCCCCAAGAGGATTCGGCGAGAAGGCCAACATCATTGATCTTACTAAGGTTTTGGCCACATCTTGGCCTGCTGGCGGGGACCCTAATATAGTACGGCCTCTTCTTTGATCGATCTCCTCCAAGATGGCCCCAAGATGGCCTCCAAGGTTCCCCAGGGTGCCTCAAGAAGACGGCCCCGAGGGGTGCCCAGGAGATCCCAAGAGGCCCCCAAGAGGCCCCCCAAAGGCTCCCAAGAGGCCTCCACGAGGCTCCCAAGAGATCCCCGAGACGCCGCAAGAGGCACCCCAGAGGCACCCAAGACGCCCCAAGAGACCCCGGGGACTGCGAAGAGACCCCCAAAGCATCACAAATGGACTTCAAGAAGCTGTCAAGAGAAATCCGACGAGATTCCGAGAGGCATAAAAAAGCTTCTGGCCTTTCTTCTAGCCCTCCACCTCCTTCTCCTCTTCCTCATCCGCCTGTTACCTTCTCCTCCTCCTCCGATGCTTCCTCCATCCTACCCTTCTTGGGGAACGACGCCGTACCCAGCCCTTTGCTCCAGTGAATGCTCCTCCACATCCCTGATCAGGGCAACTCGTCTGGGCACCGTTTCTGGATGGGCTGGTTGGGTTACGCGGAACGTCTGGGATCTCTCGGGACTTGCCGCGTGCCTCCTGGGCTTGACGCGTCCTGTCGCGTGACTATTTCGGGACCAACAAAGCCCCAAGACGGGACAAGAGAGTCCCAAATGCCCCCGAAATGTTCGAAGAGGGCTCCGAATCGTCGAACCATCGATGGCTTCCAGTCGCCTGGAAACCGAAAAGAAAAGGCCCAATACGTCCCAAGAGGCCTCCAAGAGCCTTCCCAAAAGGGTCTCAGGAGGCCAGCGTCAGATTCATTTCTCTAACAGTGCTTGCGCTTGTGGGTTCCTACTCCTCTTCGAAGGAGCTGGGCCAGGCGGTCGGTCTTGTGGCTCTGTGCTTGCCGTCGCCGCCGCGTCGCCTGCTCGTCGCTGCCCTTCTTCTGGGCCTGGCTGCCGGTCTGGCGGGTCCGTGCTCGCCGTGGCCGCCCCGTCGTCGCCGCAGGTCGCCGCCTCGCATAGGCTGCCCCGCGCTGAAACAAATAATTGGCTCCACCAACCTCCCGAGGCCGGACTTCTCGCCTCCTCCTCCTCCTCCTCCTCCTCCTCCTCCTCCTCTCCTCCTCCTCCTCCTCCTCCTCCTCCTCCTCCTCCTCCTCCTCCTCCCTCCTCCTCCTCCTCCTCTTCCTCCTCCTCCTCCTCCTCCTCCTCCTCCTCCTCCTCCCACTCCT